GTCCGCGTGAGCAATGCAATGGCGTATGTACGTGTATATACATGCACCACTACATAAAACCCGAGAATTGGTTTCTCGGCGTTGGCAACACTGAAATCGGAGTTTCGCGTTGTCTCCAACATCAATTCGGAGTCTGGCCGGACGACCTGTCGACCCTTAATCTGTGATTATATTAATTTATATTATCCTATACGATTTGATTCTATAAGTCTATAAGTAATAACTCAGTATTTAACACAAATATGTGGAGATATGTATGCTAAATAACTTTTACAAGCTAAAAAATATTATTTTGTTAATTAAATGAAAGAACATATAACGCCGTTTTCTTATTTTCACACGATAAAATTATGTGACGTTTTTTCTGCATTTATTTACACGTTAAAATTACACATATTACTTAAATATTAAAGCTTTTATTTAAATTTTGTTGACTTTTAATTGTTTATCTGAAAAAGTGTTTACAATTTACAATGTGTTAATACAACTATATGTAATGTCTTTGAATCTTTCCTATGTAAATGTTGGAAAACAATTAGAAATTTTCTTATTTTTAAATAAAAAAATCTTTCTTTCGAAATAATGTAATCGACACAAAGTATATCTATGCAAATTTTAGGATTTTACAAGAGAATGGCTAGCACAACTGCGGAAAATGAGTCTACTAAAAATGGAGGTAATATTGATGTAAAGGAGCAACTTAAAGAAAGGTCTGAAAGGAATCGACAGAAAGCACTTATGTTAAAAAAGCTTAAAGTTGTAACTCATCCATATACAAGGTATGTCAAATATATATTATATATATATATATATATACACATGTATACATGTATATATGTATACATTTAAGAAAAAAATTATCTTAGAATATAATGAAATTATTATTTCTTTTCAATGATCAACTTTTTGAAAACTTTAAAGTTACCTTTTTATTTATAAAAATATACTTAAATAATATTCTTATTGTAATTAATAATGTGGTTGTTATAGAGGAAATAATGAGTCCACAGTAGGAAGATCGCTAAAAGTTCAAGGGCAGTGTGTTATCGATAGTGGTGGAGGCTTCCTGATAGAAGAAAATGACAAATCAGAGCAACAGGTATAAAAATATATATTTATATTTGTATATGATCATTATTGTTATGATATTTACAATATTACATGTTTATTTTATTAGTTGAAGATCAGAACAGAGCCAGAACTTGTTATTGGTAAATTTAATGAATGTGAGGAATGTCAACAGAAATTTGGAGATTCATATCTTTTACAAACATTTGATCTAGTTGTTTGTGATAAGTGCAGGTACAATAATAGCATTTGAGTTAAACAGTTCTAATATTTATTTATTTTTGCACATAATTGATTATCAAATATATATATATATATATATTATATATATATATTATATATATATATATATTGAAAAATTACAATTATATATAAACTCTTACACATTGTTTTAGAGATAAAGAAGGAAAGCACTCTTTAATCACCAAGACAGAAGCTAAACTAGAGTACTTACTGAAAGATTGTGATCTCGATAAGCGGGAGCCTGCACTGAAATATATCGTGCGAAAGAATCCCCACAATGTGAATTGGGGCGAAATGAAGTTATATCTACATTTGCAGATAGAGCAAAGAGCTTTAGAAGTTTGGGTTCGGAAGAAAATTTGCTGAAAGAGAAAGAAATTCGCGATATGAAGCGGGAGGGTGCCAAGATTAAAAAATTCAATAAAAAGGTATCTTGTTTCTTATATATATTTTTTTTTATAAATTGTATATATACGTATATATTGTATTTTACATATATTAATATATTTTATAAAATTTTAATAATACATCTGATCTCTTACTATAAGAAATTTTATACTTTATGGGAATAAAGATTAAACAGCTGCGAATGCAAGTAAGAAGTTCGTTATATGATAAAACGATGAAAGCATCACACATCCACGAATTTGGGAAAGATATATATAATGAAGAAGATGATACGTATAAGCATCTTGTACAACGTGCAGTTAGAAGAAAGAAACATATGAAAAAATGTGAATATTTGAATGAATAGTAGAGCATATAAATAATTGTACATTTAATATCAATAATTTTATAATTTAATATCAATAATTTTATAAAGATATAATACGAATATTTACAAATAATAAGAGATTAGTTATTCTCTCGCAAACTTGTTAGAGCTATGCATTTGATATCTATATTTCATTGAAAAGTACTTGATTTATACATTTGTTATTTTATTAAATAAATTCAATAAAACGATTTTATATACATAACTGTATATATCGTTACGTCCGTGTTCCGACTATTCGTTTATATGTCCCTGAATTGATCGCCGAATATAGTCTTTTTTTTAATTCAAGTATATCGCGGATCGAACATCGTCGTCAAGAGGCTGTTTATGAATATCGTCGCGTCTTTGTTATTTAGCGTTGCGTTTGGGTTCTAGTCCAGCTGTCGTGCGTGTGAGGACGTTTCTTCTGTCAGCTGACTAACTTCTATTATATATTATATTGTAAATAAATATATACTTCTTGTATTGCATTATCATTAAATATTATTTCTCTTATTTGCGAGTACGTTCTTTGCGGGCGAATAAGTGAGAGTTCGTGCGGGACTTATACGAATCGGTCTCGAGGACGTAAAACAATTATTTCTATTACTACGAACTTTATTGGGTGCTTTTCAGCAAGCAACACAAGCGACTAAGCGACACAAAGTCACATTGTATGCGACACAAGTGCTTTTCTACTATCACACAATATAACACATCTTACTCAGCTCTTTAGCTAACAATAAGTCGCTTTGTGCTCAATCGTGTTACACCAGTATTACACAGTGTCTATCTGTGTCTTTCTTGCTGAAAAGCACCATTGGGTAGTGTGCCGACTTCTTTATTTCATTTCTCTACGTGCTACGCAACGTGCCACAACGTGCTTCATCAGCGTAACCGCTCTTCGTTATAAAACGTATCTTAATAATATATTTTATAAAGGCTGAATTTCGATATTTACTCTGTCAGTACTGAAAATCTATAGTTTACGTCACGCATACTATTGATTTTTAGTATTGGCAGTGAATATCGAAATTTAGCCAAAATATGTCTTTTATAACACATATATAAATATATAAATTGCTTTTTTTATACATATATATATATATATATAAATTGCTTTATTGAATTTTAAATATTTGCTGAATTTAAATATATATATATATATATATATATATATATATATATATTTGAATTCAGCAAATATTTAAAATTCAATAAAGCAATTTATTCTTTCTCATCTGTTAAAAATTGTTAGTCGAAGATTAACGATAGCTATATATGGCAAATTTTATATCAATCAGTATATACAAAATTTGTTTTCTATTGTATTTTATTGACAAAGAAATGACATTCTATTTTAGAAGTCCTTACAAGAAGTGATCATTTTTCAAAACCACAAATCCCAGAATTTAAGGATGCTATAACAGAAGGCCTTTGCAACGCTAAACAACGCGTGAGAAATAAAGAAACATAGAAATGAGAAGAAAGACAAAGAAAAAGACAGGCTTTAACAGAAAATTAAAAGAAAATTTAAACATATTTAAACTAATTAAAGTTCTGGACAATTTTTGCAATTATTTTGTGCAATGCTAAAATATAACTTTTTTTAACTTTGAAAACTTATTTTTATTATTATTGTTAAATATTGTTTATTTTTATTATTATTGATAATACCAATATTAGCAATATTGTTTATTTTTTTTATTAGTGTTAATAAATATAAGTTTATAATAAAAAATTTTAATAATAATAATTAGAAATATATAATATAATCAATAGTAATACTTAATTGAATATAGTAATAATAATAATTTAAGCATAATAATTTAAGTAATAGAGTTTATAATAATTAATAATAAGTTTATTTTACATGTAAATAATATTAATAATTTAATAAATACAAAATTTATTTAAATATTTAAATGCTACAAGTTATCAAATTTTCTCTCCTTATTTAATTAATTTAAATATTTTATCTAAAAAAATGTAATAAAAATAGAACAAAATATTATAGCATTACTATTGTTCAAATATTGGGAATTGTGATGTTTTTAAATGTTAAAATAGTTGTGCAAAATTTATATTCGAAATTATATTTTACAATATTTTAGCAAACTATTTAAAAATTTTATTCCCACAAAATCATTGCGTTATGGCGAATCATCTTAATGCAATTATTGTAAAATCCATTTCTCTCCATTTCGTGATGCAAATATTGTATAATATTTGGATAATTTTCCTATATTTTCGGGGAAGAGATTTAAGAAAACAAATGTTACATTTTATATATGTAATATACAAGATGTTTGATAATTCGCAATTGCACGTCTTTATGTAAATTAAGTAGAAGTCTTCTATCATTTTGCAATAATTAAAGAGAAATTAATTTAATAAAGCGAATTGACTGATTTTTTAAATTTAATTTCTTATTAATTATTGCAAAAATCACAAAATGATATAGAACTTTTCTACTTATTAGTTTAACACGTTCCATATGCATACGAGAAGTGATTCGCGAATTATCAGACACTCTATATAATCTAGCTAAATGAGCTTATTTGAAGGTATTCAAACTAAGAAAAACTCTTTTAACTCTGTATAATTTAGCTAAATGAGCTTATTGAAGGTATTTAAACTAGGAAAAACTTTTTATACATACGTACATATATAAATTTAATATATTATTTTACATATGCACACATACAAAAGAAAATCTAATTTGTATCAACTATTACTGAGTTTGTATTAACATAAATAAAAACTTATACTAGGGTAGAAGTATACATAATGTATTTAGATATAATTATTTAATAATTATAATTAAAGAAAGTAACAAATAGTATTCTCTCTCTGAGGAATTATTTGGTTCTGTTATTTAAACTTCATCTTCGTTTAGAAGCATATTTGGAATACCATCATTAATGGGGAATTCCTACCGGATTCTGGACATAATAAATGCCCATTTATAACTTCAACCTCCAACAGAACATGGTGAGCTTTCTTCAGAAAATCTTCATTCGTCTCAAAGTCTTCTATTAAAACCTGAGGTAATTCACCAACATGCCCTATCTATAACAAAAAACTTGTATTAATATATTTAAGAATATTATTAATATCTATTATATGTATATTTATATATATTCATGTATATAAATTCATGAAAAGATTGCATAAAAATATGTAGAAGATATATAGAAGATATATAAAAATATGGAAGATAAACACTTACACTATCTGCAGCTTTCACAGCACGGTCCAATCCACTTTTGGAATTATTCTAGCGATATATTCTGGACTAAAATCTACTTCAGATACTCTAATGTCTTTGGCCTGTGAATAATTTTTTATGAAACATTTATGACAATTTCATAATAAAAATGTATAAATATATAATAATAATGTGTGTATATATGTATATATGTGTGTTTAGTTAAAGTTATCAGCTATTAGATTGATTTTACTATTTTTATATTATATGATAATTAATATATGAACATAATTATATAATTACACTTATATCATAGTTATTCTAATATTAAAAATAGTATTTTTAAAGTTTATAAACATGTTTTATAGTAGTAATACAGATAGATTAATTTAAAAAATATTTGGTAATTGTTTATAACTATCACAGAAAATGATTAATCCAACTATTGAATCATTTGTTGTATAAAAAATTAGAAAAATTGCTTTAAAAATTAACAGCGAATAATAAACAAATCAGTTATATATTATATAGTTATTAAAATAAATATATTTATCAAGTGCAAGGATTTACTAAATGTTAGAAACATCTTAATCTTGTTTACTACATTCATACCATAAACTCAAATATCACAATATAACAATAATGTTCAACATAATAATAATTTAATTTGATTTGATCTAAATAATTCATACTTAAAACATTTTTTAATATTATGCTATCTTTTTCAGTTTTTAAATAATATTGAATTATTTTAGAATGATAATTGTTTATTCAGCAAATGAAGATTTTTATTGAGTTTTTTGCATGTAATAATTAATGTAAAAATTGAAACATCAAAATTAAAGTTAAAAATTATTTAAAACACTAATAAATTCTTTTATTTTTTTTAGTCTTTTTTTTTAGATTACATCCAATACAATTTTTTTCTTTATTATTAAACATTATCTGAACTATTCCCAGACCAACTTTTTGCAAGTGTAAATTAAAAGAAAAGCAATTTTTTTATAATACAATTAAAAAAATAACTTACGATTATTCTCAGAGGATAACCAACTGCCACGCCTTTTATAGCCTTGGACGTTAACATATTATTGTGAGAAGTTTCTTTTTTCTACAATAATTAGTTTTTTGTTGTGTGAAATATCCAATTATTTATTTAATTATTTGTCAGAGAAATAAAATATTGATATAGGAGCTCATGCAATAGCGCGTGTATACAGAAGTTTAGAGATTGGGTTAGGTTTATATAGTATAATAAAGCTCCTTGCACAATGTCAAGCAACAGGCAATAGGAATAAAAAAAATATCCACCAATAGGAGCAGAGAATAATATCTATCTCTTTTTCCGATTGGTTGATATTTTCTATTTCTTAAGATGCAATGTTACGTGCCGCTAAAACAAGTGATTCAAGCGACAGATTTGTCGCTCGTAATCCAACATCAACAATTTTGTAGTTTGAATCAGTTCAACTACAAAGCATTTACTGCTTAAACCATCGACATATAGAATGGACTGAGCATCGCGATGGGTAAGCGCGCGCCTGCTTTAGAGTGAGAAGTACTACATCTGAGGCCTATGTTTGTCTCTCTTTTTGCAGGGCCGTCTAAAAAAATTGCGGACCATGTGCATTTTTCTATGAAATGTGTAGTCAATAGATTTTTTAGATTTTATGCATGCATCTGTATATCCTTTTTTTTTTTTATCATACGTAATTTTTGCACACAAAACACCTTAAAACCATTTTTTAATTTTAAAGATAAAGATAAACGTTTCACGTTATTCCAAAGCGAGTAGGCGAAGGTGAGGTGTCAAAATTTAATGCTATGTTACTGCTAGAATTCTGGAGGGGGACGAATAACAAATCAGAAGCTTGCAAGAGAGACAAACATAGGCCTCAGATGTAGTACCTCTCACTCTAAAGCAGGCGCGCGTTTACATATCGCAATGCTCAGTCCATTCTATATGTCGATGGCTTAAACGCTTAACTTTCAATTCTGTCGCGCTGCCTATCCTTTTCATGTACAAAAATGACCACTGTTTAAAGCGGGGAGCACACACTTTTTGCATAGGCGCATAAGCGTAAACATAAGAATCATTGATTGTGTCTGTGAACATATGCATAAGAAATTCGATTGGTTGATCTTATGCATACGTTCATAGACCATCAAGATTCTTATCTTTTACTGTCACGTCCTAGTGACCTTCCTACTCTCTCTATTCCTAGGCTAGAAAGAATGGGGCGCTCTCTATTTTTTAAGAGGCAACCGGGGGTCGATTGTGTAACTTTTTCTAAAGTGAAAACGTGAAAAGTGAAAATTTTCCACCAACACGCATTGATTTTAAAATGAAAACGAAATGATGTGTGATTGGAAGAAATTTTCACTTTTCACCTTTTCACTTTAGAAAAAATGTACCAATCGACCCCCTTTTTACACCAGCTATACCTCAGGATCATTATTCCAGAACTGTGCGATTTAATGTCGGAAATAGAGAAGAAATCTCCCAGGACAATAAAATTCTTAAAAGAACAGTGCTGAATATCTCATTTAAAATCGATCACATGCTATTATTTTAAATATTTGAAATCATTCTTAGGGT